AGGTAGCTATCAGACTACAGGGAAGAGGGGGTTGCAAGAATGTGGGGACAATAAGCTGACTCTGTAAACCGCTTAGAGAGGGCTGAAAGCCCTATGAAGCGGTATATAAGTCTAACTGCTAAACCACATTTCCAGTCTCTTTGGTGCACTTGATTCTTGTTCCCTAACAGCCCTTTGTAAAGATTTTGCATAACCCACTACATGAATAAAACTAATGATTTCATTTGGGTTAAGACTGGGGAAGAAATAAGAATACTATTTAAAAAATAATTCAAGTATCAACACAGTGCTACAACATTACAGCTTAGAAATCTGTCTGATTGAAATTTAAAACCTTTTTTCTTTTTAATGGCCAGGATAAATTTGCTTATCTTTGAATCCCAAACCAAACAATATTTGTTTAGATACTGTTACCATATTTTCAAGTAAAGTAATACATTTTGATATTATTTATTCATGAGACAAATGCAAATATAGGCAAAAACTTAATTCCCATACTGATTTTAGTTTGTATATGTATCAGAATGATTACTGATAACTTACTCTCTCCTCACTTTGTTATTTTTATTCAAGGAAGTCCAAAAAAAGAATAGAAATTGGTGGGTTTTTTTTCCTGAGCTATTACGATCATAAGAAAAATCCCACTTCCTTTAAATCACCTGCTGTTAAAATACTAAAGCTTGCAAACCGCTAAAGATTTTAAGTTGAGTTTGGCATTCTTTCCCCATGTAGTTGCACTGCCATAAAGTCACTGCCTGATCATCTATTTCCTTTAGACTCTGATACTTGAAAATCGTGTCCCCCCCCACATTCTTGCAACCCCCTCTTCCCTGTAGTCTGATAGCTACCTCTCTTCCTCATTCATAATTCCAGGCTGAGAATCAATAGTTCTGCTCAAGAAATAATTATTCTTCCTTAAAAAGTCAAATGTAGAGGAGGTGGATGGGGGGAAAAGAGAAACCACAGACCAAACCAAACAAAACGCATTAGTCTTTATACAGGCTCTGGAAATATAATATATGTTTGTTTTGTTTTTTGCTTAGCAAAATTTTGCATTGAAGTGGTAAGCCTGCTCATAAGGAACTGCTGAGAAGGCATTCTCTCAGGAACCTCCCAATCTTGCAACTCCTCAAAGTTTTTGACAAATATTTTGAGAAATTGTTGTATCGTCAGCAGATTTGATAACCATTGAAACACAGGATTAAACCTCGTTACACTTCACTCCTACCTGAGTTCAGTTTGATCTACCTTGAAACAGATTTGCTGTTAGAACATGATTGTTAATTGAGCTATATATCCACTAATTATGGTTGTACTTAAGTAGTTGCTAATCATGAGGTATTTTATCTACTCCATTGCTGAAATATATTACAAACTATATTACATATGCAGCTTTGCTATAATCTACTAATGAAAAATAAGATATAGTTAATCTGGCAAAAGTAATTATTAATAAATCCCATATTTTTTCAAGGTGCTCACAGATATTGTCTGTTTTACAGAAGTTTTTTGCAAACCATTTCATAAAAATATACTGTGTTTTTTTAAAAAATTAGGAAAATTTATTTAAGCTTTTTTCCTCCAAGATATATATTTGTTTTTAGGGGACATTTTATTTAATTTATAAAGAATTGCAATATGGAGAGAGAGGAATCTTTTTATTTAGAACTTTAAAAAACCACTATTAGACAAATTAAAAGACTATAATATAAGGTTTCGCTTCCAAAAATAGGGAGCAATAGGAATATTTTTGGAAAGCCACCTTTGAAACATCAAATTACTGGGAAAATGATGTCCATCCAGTCAAGATCAAAATTAAAACATTTCACCTAAACTGTATGCAAATTCTAGAATTTGACAAATTGTTTGGAAAGAAGCCATTCTCAAGAGACTGTCCAAACATGCTTGGACAACTGCTTTTCAAAATTATAATCAATTCAAATTAAGAAATTCTTAATAATGTTAGTGTACTACATCTCTCAGCTAAAATTATGTTCTGTTTATAAAGTTAATAGAGGAGCAAACATCAAATCTTATGAAGTAAAGGTATGTATCTTTCTCTGTGCATAAGTGTAACCTGGCATCTGTTTCCCAGGGTTTCTTAGAGAGGTCAACAACACCAGGCCAATTCCCCATTCCATTGCACTGTCAAAATGATTAGTGCCATCAGATTCCTGGAAACACCAATTCTCCATGCAGGAAGACTAAAAATGACTAAAAACACCATTTCAATTGTTTTACATTTTCATCTGCTAACCTCATATATGACTGCAGCCTGCCCTTATGCTTACAGAAGCAAATTGACATGTTTATGTCAATGCTACATGGTTTCAATTTTATACATTTTTTCTTTAAGAAGATATATAATTGATTTAAAAAATGGTTTTAGTGTTATCCTTGGGAGAGGTTACCATGTGTTTCTGCACTGAAAGGAATTGGGATGTAGCTGCAATGAAACACTCACTGAGACTCACAAAATATTAAGAAAATGGAGAAATGGGGCCGTTTTATTATGACAATTATTCAATTTACTAACCTACCTCCTTGCTTTGTGGGACAAATAATTGTAATACGATATTTCCCAACCAAGAAACCCCCTACATTCTATTGTTTTGTCTTTACAGTACTCTAAACAAACTATAATAATAAAACAAAATATGACTAGACTGTACTATTTCATAGAAATTAAGAGAAAAATGCATTGTAGATAGAATTTAACATGTGTTATAAACCCAGCCATCATGAAATTTTGTTGTGCAAGTTTCTTTCTTGCTATAATCACCATTATTACCCTGATACCTTATACGTGGAATAGTCTTATAGTGTCTATTCTTATTAAGTAATTCTGCACATAGCCTACTGATAATATTCTGCAATCATGAATATTACTGTCACTATTAATAATAAGTAATGTTTCATAGGGTGGAGATTGTAAGATTTCATCTCAATGGATCAACATTTCACGGGTTTGAATATTCTCCATGCGCCCCTGCGTTTTACATCTTCAGGGGCCGTTCTGCAGGTGTCTGGTTATTGTTCTCAAAATCAGATGGAAATTTGGGCGGGACAAGATCTTCCTCTGTGTTTCATAACTACCAGGTCAAGCTTGTTCATTAACAAGAGGAAGTGTATAATCAAGATGTTAATTCTGTGAGGCTTTGTGAATCTGAGAATTGCAAAATTTGGATGTGTCTTCTATTTTGCTCCTGCTCTGCTGACCACATTAGTGAAACGGAGGTATGAGAATAAGAGAGAGGCAGAAGAAGAAAAAAATAACCACACAGTTAATCCCATGCAGCTCTGCTAAATGAACAGTTGTGGGCATTTACATCTTCCTTTAACACTTGCTTTTAAGGACTTTATTCTAATTTTTCTGTTTGCTTTTCCCAATCCAGAAAGTTCAGAGAGAAGGCACATCAGAACTGAGATGGGGACTGAGCGGGCCCTTGTCCTGGACCGCTTAGCAAGCAATGTTGCCAAACGAAAACGTTCCATGCCACAGAAATTTATTGGTAAGGATCTTTTTTTCATGGACTCTCTTTTGGGTATGGCCATTAAAAGCAATGGAAATATGACATGGTTCTTCTTACGAACAAATATAAACCTGCATTTATTAGACAACAGTAACATATCAAATAAGGAAAAGCTGTTACTGTATTTCCTTCTTCCCTCTTTACCATGACATGAATGGATTTAGGCGTATTCATGGCTTAATACAGACCAGCCCCTGAAATATACAGTGGAGAGGTTTCTGATGATAGATGACTCTTTCAAACCACAAAGCCTACAAGAGAGCATTAGACTGAGAATTGTCACTGATTTCAAATTATTGTCAACCAATCAAGGCAGCCACAAAACAAAAAGGAGTATAAACAGCAGGTCCTGTTACCAAAGTATATGCAGATACTATAGGGCAAATAATTCTCTCTCCTTTATCTTACATTGGGGGGGGGGAGAAGCATTCTTCTTCCATGAAATAGATATTATAATAAATACTTTTAGCAAAACTGGTTTTAGCTGACTGCTTTTCATTGATAAATATTTTTTTCAAAAGCTCAGCAATAAGTCTTTTGAAATATAGAATAAACTGCTACAAGAGTAAAACATCTCATTCCTCACCACCGTCAGAGAGCTAGATGAAGCAGTGTTAAAAGCAAATGCAGAGACATTCTGTTTTGTTGATTAAGAATTGTTTTCTTCTACTTACTAATTAGATCAATTGAATATTGAATCAGTAGTTAATTTTTTAAAATAAATATTATGATTGCTCAATCACATCAGTTGTTTGTAGAAAGAAAAGTTCAGGTGCTTGCATATACAATCATGTAATATTCCTTTTAATTCCTATCTTCTCGCCATATACTGTTTATTTAAAAATAATTTATTAATTAGAATGATTGTTTATAATAAAATAATATCAGTGTCGGTGTCAATATTGACATTTCAAAATTATGTTTATTTTAATGCAGTTTATTTTAGGCATCTGATAATTATATTGTGGAATTTTAATGAAAATATGATTTGTTCAATTGTAACTGAAATAATTAATTGAAAAAGAGAAAAAAAGGCAAAAAAACCCCACCCCTAACTGAAGAATTGTTTTTTTCTTTTTAATTTCTAGGATTTATAGTATTTCCTAAGTATATTATATTACCAAATATGAAATAATGGAATTACAATTAATACTAACCAGGCTATAAGAGAAAAAATATTTTTAATTATGTGGGCCATGTCAAATCAAATATATTTCTCAACTGGAAAAATTGGGTGGTTGCTTGATTTCTCAGCTTTTTACCAAACTTAAAGGAGGCCTATTAAATGATTTCAGTATGGATTTCAGTACAATGTTAAAGGCTTGGCCATTTTTGGGAGGTAGTTTTTGGCAGCTTCATTTAAAATTTGAAGATTAATAAAAACCCACTGAATCATAGGTATACATCTTCCACTGTTTGATCTTAATGCCATAATATAAATCTTTAAGCAATAGCCCTTAGAACTAGATCGATTAATACTAACCAGGCTATTTTTCTATCTTTAACCTCTGATTTTGTGTATTATTCTATTTCCATTCAGAATAGAAGGAAATATTGTTTTCTTACAGTAGAAACATGCCCAAACCAATATGCCATATTTTTCTTCCCTGCTCCCCAGCCCCCAAATTAAACCCACCACAATTGTATGAAGAGATCTACAACACTTTGCATTTATCTAAAGATCTTACAGCTATTATTCCTTTGCCATTGAAAAAAAAATAAAGTTCACCTAATATTTTTCTTCTGAATTTGCAAAAGTGGAGGCGGAACAATTGTTCACCTTTGCCGCAAAGACCTCCCTCAGTCATTTACATCAAAAGCCATGCAAAATTGTTTGATAGTGCCATATATTAAACTCCAGAAATGGCTCTGTGTAAGAATTTGTTGATCAGAGCATCTTTGCAGTGACACAGATTTTCTGCTGTGCAAGCTTCATTGTGAATATTGGAGATGAATCCAAAATGTTAGGGTTGCAGAAAGAGCAGATTATTTTTGCTTGTGCTTGGAGAACTAAGAAAATTCAAAGTTTGATTCAACATTACTGGTATTAATACTCTATACTTAATCAATAACTCTTTCTCCAGTAGTAGTGGATAAATCACAGCATTTGGAGGTAGAATACTAGGTAAGGAGAAAGTAAAATCCTCAATCTGCTATGAACTTCATATTGTGAGAAAAAAATACAGAAAGTCAATGCATACCACCCTAAACTTCTTGAAGAATGATAGGTGCATGGAATGGGTGTAGAAATGCTGTATTTTAAACCAGTGATAATGTGTGTTTTACTGTGGCAAACTACAAGTACAGAGCCTATAAGTTACTACAGTAATCCTTGACTTACAACAGTTCATTTAGTGACTGTTTAAAGTTACAGTGGCACTGAAAAAACTGACTTATAAACATTTTTAACAGTTACGTTTGTAGCATCCCCATGATCATATGATCAAAATTCAGAAGCTTAGCAACTGGTTCATTTTTATGAACATTGCTGTGTCCCAAGGTCATGTGATGCTAAATTTGCTACTTTCTGACAAGCAAAATCAATGGGGAAGCTAGATTTACTTAGCAACCATGTCATTAACTTATCAACTGCAGTGATTCACTTAACAACTGAGGCAAGAAAGGCTGTAAAATGGGGCAAAACTAACTTAAGAAAGGTCTCACTTAACAACAGAAATTATGGGCTCAATTATGGTTGTACATCAGGGACTACCTGTACTGGGTACCTCTCTAGCCAGCCTGTTGCCACCTGAATGCTAAAGCAATATGATTTCTGATTTTTCATTGAATGCATTTTAATTTACATCTGATTGCAATATTTTTCTTTTATTGTGTCATTTTCTTTCATATTATAAGTGCAAATTTAATAACACAATTGTCTTACTGTACAGACCCAGAAGATAAAGAACATATACTGGCCTAGACATTGTTAGTCATCTTTTTACTGAGCAGAACTGTCAAAAATCTGTTTAATGAAATTAATCTGGTGAATGACCTCTATGAAAGGAAGATCATTTAAATTCTGTTCTCTATTTTTCCCCTGTACCTATCAGTATATGCTGGTACTTGCAAACATCAAACTCTTGATTCACAGTCAGTATGAAAACAAGATTAGATATCTGTAAAGATTATGAAGCCAACTTCCTTCTTAGTATAATTATGCTAAAGATTTTTATAAAATAAGATAAAGACTAATATAAATTAATATAAAGTGAGAAAAAGAAAAGAAGGAAGAAATCAAAGACAAAGCTAAAAGTGAAAGAAAGAAAGAGAAAAACAAAAATCTGAAAATGAACCATAGAAAGAAATAGCTTCTGATTTACTTCACAGCAGTTATAAGTACAATATGAATTTACCTCTTATTCTATGATTACAACGTAGCTCTCTTCTTTCTGCAATATATTCTGTCTAATCATCAAAACCATAAATAATGAGTTCATTTTTTTCTTTTTTTGTGCAAGGAAGTCTATAAGTTAGCAATAGATATAAATATTGTCTTTTCTCTGATCAAATAAATGAATTTGTTCATCCCAGCCACTTTCATCATCTTCTCCGTCTAGTCTTTGACACATTTAGTGTCAAATCTTTTCATTTATGTGCATACAATAATCTTGCTGTAATTCTAATGTATCAAAACAAAGTTCCATGATTTTTTCTGCAAGTGTTTGTCCATCAATCCTGAAAAAAAAACCATGGTCTCAATTGTATATTATACTAATTCATATGAATTAGTCCATAAATATCTGAAGCCAGAATTTTCTAGCTTCTTTACAGGTCCACCAAAAATGTAAAATATCTGTTCTTGTTCGTATTTCCAATATAGATTTGGATTGTGTTTTAACATTCTAGACAATTTTTCTGGTGATGTGTACTAATGGTACATTTTATAAAAATTCTCTTAACATAATGTTAATTTCAGTCCTTTCAGCCATATATTTTACATTACTACAGCTGCATATTATTATCCAAAAATTAAGCCTACTTTATCATGCATTCTTCTATTTCAAGTTTTAATATTAAAAATTATACATTTTAGCAATTACATTTTATTTCAAAGTCACTCTTACAATGTTCAAAACCATAAACTCTTTTATTTACTTTAAATTTTTCTAATAATTGCAAACAAGAAAACTATTGAAATCTATATTCCCTCCGCCCCCAGCTTTTTTCTTGATTTTATATTATATTTCTCTTGTCCAACTTCTAATATCTTTACTTCTAGCAAAAAATTTCGGGCACCGGACCGGTAGTAATGCCGGCAGGAGCCTACCCCTACACAACACCCATTCTTCATCCAGACCAGGTCTGTCCAATCCTCTTTCTTTTGCATCTTATAATACTTTATATTTAACTCGTGTTTTTTTCCCCTTGCCACCCAAATTTAGACATATCCTCCTGATATGGTTTAAATGTGTCATCAGTTATCAATGTAGGTATTGTCTGAAATGAAAACATCATTCTAAGCAAAACATTTATTTTTATCATAAAAATTCTTCCCAGCAAATTTTAGTTTCTACATCTTAACATATCTTTTTAATTTCATTCCATGTCTTCACATAACTATTTTGAAATAATATACAATCATATTTGGCATAATGATACCCAGATATTTTACCTTATTAAAACCTACCATGCACCAATTAATTTTGATGTGTCTATTAATATTTCAGTTCTCTTTAAAGGATCTTCCAGAATCAATATCAAATTATCTACAAAAGCTCTTAAATTTTAAGTCTCTTTTAAAGTCTCCCATCTTCTATCTCTATTTAGTATTTCAGAAACCTAAATAAGTAAGAGAGACTGTGAGCATCCTTCTCTTGTTCTTTTTTGTATTTTACATGGTTTTGTTAGCTCTTCATTAACAATTATTTATGCTTTCTGTGATGTATAAATCAGTCTTACTCATGTTAAAAAGTTCTCCCCAAAATAAACATCATTTAAAATCTCTTTGAATAAAGAGGCCCAGTTCAAATGGTCTA